CACACCTTCTGCTAAGTTGCCATAGTTATCTGGGCCAGTGCAGTTGCCTTTGAATGCCAAAGGGTCGGATTCTTCTGCTTCTGCCCAGGATGACTCCACTGAGTCCAGATTAAGGGCTCCTGCTCATGAATCCATAGAATACAAAGCCGACAGTGTCTGGGCCCTTATGTGGTATTGGCAACCTGGGGAGAGGAGCTCTGAGCTCAGTCATCCAAGACCAAGGTCACATTCTAGGACCCCATTATAATTGCTGCAAAGTTCTTTCCTTTGCCTCTTCCTCATAAGGATGGCAACCAAAAATCTGGGCTGGAAAAAGAGACTTTGAGCGCAAACCCAGCTGCTGGGATGGTGATGTGTCTCTTCCCTGTCAATGCTGCATTGCTGCCTCTCTGTTGTACATTAACTCCATGTCCCTTGGCTCTGTGTTTGTTCCAACCAAGTTGAGCTGGTGCAGAAGTTGCCCAGGGATGCAGTCCTATTATGAACTTCACTTTCTAATGCTATTAAAGAAAAGGGGTTCTGATGAAAGAACTACCATAGAAACTGGGAACCTGCCAATGGTGCCAAATGAATGAGAAAGACCTGTTGGTAGTGAGCTGGAAGGGACCTTTCTACCACTCTAAGTGGGAATAGGATATGCAAGGTGATGCCCAGACTGATGCCATCTCTGGCCAATAATCTTGAGCCCTTTGTCCCAAAATACAGACTAATTGCCAGGTACCCAAATAAAATGTCTTCCCATGGCATCCCTGGTTGGGGCTTTCAGTTGTTTCTCCCTGTCTCCTATCCTTACCCTGTTTTTCAAAAAGATACAGATCTCTGTCTCCTCCTCCCCCTCTCCTCCTTCTCTGCTTCCTACTTTTCCTCCTTCTCTTTCTTCTTCTTCCTCTGCTTCTGCTTCTCCTTCTCTTAAAAAAATATTTATTTTTTAGTTTTAGGTGGACACAATATCTTTATTTTATATTTATGTGGTGCTGAGGATCAAACCCAGTGCCTCATGAACGCTAGGCAGCACTCTACCACTGAGCCACAACCCCAGCACATCCCTTCTCTTTCTTGACAGGAACTTGTGAGCCACCTGCTGGAAAGAGTTTATTAGCAAGGGAGCATTTGACAGATTGGCAGAGGGCCTATGAAAAGCAATAGGTTTTGGGGAGGCAGCTGGGATGACAGCCCAAGTCTCTCCTTCACCGAGACTCAGTACAGATTTATATGTCAACTGCTAAACTCTTTCTGGACCAGAAGGCTTTGCTCACTGCAAGAGAGTCAGGCTGGGTCATCTGCTTGCTCTCAGGTTCTGGGGAACCCCAGGGAGACCAGTGAATTAGCCTCTGAGTAGAACATGCTGTCACCTTGGGGACAATGAGCCAACAAAACTGCCAAAGGAAGCAGCCTGCTCTGAAGTGAGGGGACCCTGAGCCAAGCCTTGAGGGGCAGGTGTGAGGGCTCCCATTCAAATTTCAGGTGGGATAACTCTGGCCCCATCTATCTGCACAGACTCTACCAATCCTTTGTTCTGACCAGGCCCTGGCTGTGACAGCAAGGTGCAGGGACCAAGCTAGGCCAACAACTAGTGACACCTCAGGCAAGACCCTTCTTCTAGCTGGGCTTTGGAATTCTTATTTTAAAATTGACCCCTCCAGTAATCCCCAGCAATGGCCTGTTGTTTTCCTAATGCTAGTCACAGAAAACAAAGCTTGACAAAGTCATCCTATTGGGGGAGGTAGTTTTGAAAATTACTTAACTATTCTGCATTCAAGTCTTTTATTAAATGTATGTTTGCAAATAATTTTTGTTAGAATGTAATTTGTCTTTTCATCTTAAGGAGGTCCTTCACAGAGCCACATTTTAATTTTGATGACGTTCAATTAATTAGTTTTCCCTTTTATAGATTGTACTTTTTGTTTTGCTATAAGATTTTTTTTTGCCTGACTCAAGAACCTGAAGATTTTCTGGGTTTTGTTTCTCTAAAAGTCTCCATAGTTTAAAATTTTAAATGTAAGCTTGTCACGAGCCCTCCGTGGACTGTTGCACATAGTAGCCTCCTGAGGGGATAAGTCTGGCATTGGGAACTCCCCGTGGAACCCCCCCCACACACACACACAGGAATTGACTGCCTGATGCAGGTGCACTTCCCCTTCAAGCTCTGCAAAGATCCCACACAGCACCTGAGATGGGTGTGACCTGCCAAGATATCAATCAACCTACTGACTTCAAGACATCAGGAAGCAAAACTCTGCCCTTGAAACCTTATCCCTGACTTTGATGTACCCCTCTTAAATAAACCATCAGAACCATTTTGTCATTTGTCTAGTTCCATGTGGACTAGATCTATCAGAGGCTTCGCTTTCTGTAAGTATTTCTGAGTATTTGTGCTTTGTTATTTACTATTTATTTGAGATTGTCAGTCTTAGGGTGGCTTGGATTATTCTGGGCAGGAAGAAGGACCCCTTAATGAGATGTTGGCTGTCATCCCCCCTATATAAGCTCATGATACATATTGAATTAATTTTTATACAGATGTGATATTTGTGTCAAGGTTCATATCTACATCCAATTGCTCCACCACTATTTGCTGAAAAGGCTCTCCTTTCTCCATTGAATTGGATTTGCACCTTTGTCAAGAATTGGTTGGTCATGGTTGTGTGGATGTGTTTCTGGATTCTCTTGTTTTTTATTTTTTGCTGAGATGGAACTCAGAGCCCTCACACATGGTAGGCAAGTGCTCTACCACTGAGCTACACCTCCAGCCAAGGATTCTCAATTCCATTCCACTGACCTATGTGTCTCTCTCTGCCAATACTATACTGTCTAGATTACTGCAGCTCTATATTCAGCCCACTTTAATTTTTTCTTGAGATTATTTTAGTTATTCCAGGACCATACTTCTCCAGAGCAAGCTTGTTGATATCTACAAACAGTAACATCTTTTTTTTTTTTTTTTTGCTTATTTTTGTTGTGCTGGGGATCAAACCCAGAGCCTCGCACATTCTAGGAAAGCACTCTACCACTGAGCTATACCTGCAGCCCCCAAAACACTTTTATTCTATAGTTTATTTAGAAGTCCATTGCTTAATTTCAACCTGTGATTTTTTAATGTATCTTTTTGTTACAGATTTCTAGTTTAATTTCATTGTGATTAGTAACTGTATTCTGTATGATTTTAAACTTTAGAAATGTTTCAAGTTTTGCTTAATGGCCCATTATGTGGCTCTTTTCTAAATGTTGAATGTGCTCCTGAATATGTATCTTGCAATTATTAGTTACAGTGTTTTTCTGTGTGCATCAACTAGGTCAATTTTGTTAATTTCATTTTCAGATGGTCTTTCTTATTGATGTTTTTTTAGCTTGTTCTATCAAATACTAAGAGGTATGTTAAAACCACCAAAATGTGATCATGAATTTGTTAATTCTTTTAATTCTGTGAAATTTTTCTCTATGTATTTTGAAGTTATATTATTAAGTAAATGTTTTGTGTTTTCTTGATGGATTGATCCCTTTCATTATTATTAAATGCTTTCTCTTATTGCTCACTGGTTCTCCTTGCCTTTTTAAGACAGCAGCAACCACAGTGCTTTGTTGGGTAGAGTTTGCATTTCTAACTTGCTCTGTCCTTCAATTTCTTTTTCCTGACATTTGTAGTGTATCTGTGGTAAACATTGATATTTTAAAAAATCTAATCTGAGACTCTTTGCTTTTACATTTGGTATTCTCATTAATTTGGATTGAAACCTGCCAACATACCCACTGTTGTGATTTGGATATGAGGTATCCCTAAAGCTTCTGTGTTACGGCAGGAATGTTCAGAAATAAAAATAAACATATTATGATAGCTGTAGCTCCATCAGTGGATGCATCCATTTGGTGGATTAATAATTTGAAAGAACCAGGTGGGGTGTAGCTGGGAGGTTGGTCATTGGGGGCATACCCTTGGGGATTACTTCTTGTCTCCTGGCTCCTCTTTCTCCATCTCTGCCCCCTGTCCACCATGAGTCAAGTAGCTTTGCTCCACCATGCTCTTCCACCATGATATTGTGCTTCACCTTGGGCCCAAAGCAATGGAGTCAGCCAACCATGAACTGAATGTCTGAAACTGTGAGCCAAAATAACCTTTTACTCCTTTAACTTGTTCTTGTTGGATATTTTGGCCAAAGCAATGAAAAGCTGATGATACACCACACTTATCCATCTTAGTATGAATTTTATATTTGCCTTGCTTGCTTTTCTTCTTCCCTATTTTATTTTATTCTAAACAATTGCATTTACCATCTCTTAGTGTACAAAACTGCCAATAGGAATAAAATCAAGTAGGGTCACACAGAATCCTGACTGCTTTTCAGAAGTACCTAAGGTTCAGCTAAAATGTAGATTTACTCTTCACCCAGAAGTGTTGAATCAAAATGTGCAGCAGGCAATGAACTAGGTATCTATTTTTTAAGTTCCACAGGTAATTCTGATGGAAAGCCAATTGAGCCATCCTTCTAGATCCCATATCAAAATGTGACTGAGAAAATACCTTTAGGATCAATACCCTCTCTTAACACTTCAACAGTTCCTGCACATGGCTCAATGCCATCCTGGTTAGACTGCAGCCTCCAGGCTGGCCGACTGTCTCCACCATGCACAGCCAAGAGGCACTTTCTTAAAAGATTCTTCTTAAATATGTCTGAAGTGCCTGGAAATGAAAATACTCCAGGAAGCCTGAATATCTGAGGGTGACCACCTTGTCAGGCCTGGGGTTTTCAGCTGGGCCCCACCCACCTCCTTTGTTCTGATGTCTGGCATCAGGAGACCAGCAGCCTGAAAATCTACAGCTGGATCCCTTTTCCTCAGTTTCCCTTCAATTCCCCATAGGCCTTTCTGTAGGACTGGCAAACCTTTGTTTCCTGTATGCAGGAAGACCTGTAATTCTCTCTCTCAGAGGCCAAGCAATGTAAATGCCAAATCCATGCAACACCACACACACTAGATTTTGTTTCTGTTTTATTGTAAGTCGTTACCATTACAATATTGATGGCACTGTGGATTACAATTTTAAAAAGTCATCTTGCATAGCCCTGAGCCCTTGTGTCCTGTAGAAAAAGAGGATACCTTTTAAGTTAACTTCAAATGCCCTAAAGGATGTTATAAACCTGTATCTCACTCTTATAATGTAGTTTAGTGCTTCCAGCTGTATCAAGAGTTGATATATCAGTTTTAATTTTAACAATCAAATGAGGAAAAAAAAACTGGAGGACAGAGAGCAGCAAACAATTTTTTTACCTTAAAAAGAGATTTGGTATTGAGATAAGACCAGAATAAATCAAGGGGAAAAATACTCTGATAACTGGAAACATAAAAAGTAATCTTAGTGTGACCTTCTTCCCCCAAAATAACAATAATAATATAATATTAATAATAAACCAATAGCCATGCCACAAAGTAAGTGGAGGCATCTTAGATATATAATATCACATTATACAGATAAAGCATATGTTACTGTACTCATAAAAGCAAATATTATGCAGAGAAAAATTGAGGCTTGTTTTTCTGTTCTTTCTACAATTCTTTAACCAAAGATTTTGTTGGGGAAAGAATTCTGAAAGGTTTTCGTGTCTGTTTGCCTGTTTTTATTTGGCCTGAAGGTTTTAAAAACATATTTTCATTAAGAACCAAAAGTCTCAGACCTTTTTAGTGAGCATAGTACCCTTTCTCCTCAAATGGCCTTATGGCCTGCATTGGTTGGGGCTGATTTTCATGTGGCTTTACAGTATGAGTCCCTGTGCAATATAGGATGAAGATACAAAAATCTGACCCAATACAAGAGGCTGGGATGTGTGTGAAGAGAAGAGGCATACTGTGCTCAAACTCTTCTTTGGAAGGCTCAGTCTCTCCTGTCAGCAGGACCCTGAGGAGCCTCTGTGGTCACCCCTGACACGCTGCTCAGGACTTGTCCCTTGCGAAGACAAGGCTACAGACTGGAAATATTCAAGTAGTCCCTACTATTCTCCCCTGGAGATGACAGGATCGCCAGCCACTGACTTACTAGCCCTTATCCATCCTCCCAGAGAGCTGACACTGACTCCAGAGCCTGTCCTTGGACATTTCTCAGGGTTATTTTCTGGCCTTCTGTGTTGTATAGTTTTACTGTTATGTGGTCTGATTGGGTTGGATAGCAGAGAAGCAATGTACGGCTTCCTCTTTCTGTTTCCAAGAGTTTTTGGGGGGTCTTGCAGCTCCCACACATGCCACTTTAGAGGTTCAGGCTCCCTGGGTGGTATGGCTCAGTGAGCAACCTGACCTGGGCCCCATTCCCTGGTGAGGCCCCAGATGGACCCTAACAGCCCACAGTGCAGCCCTGCTGGCCAGAAGGGGCCAGGGCAGCACAGGTTAAGTTTCTCTCTTAGACAGGAAAACCGTGAGAAACCAGCAAAAGATAAGAAGGAAACATGCCAAAACTCACTTTCTTGATCCTCTCAGAGGACCTGAGAGAGGTGAATTCCAGGGCAATCTGAGAATTATCCTTATGGAGCTAACAAATAGTTACCAAATCAAGTGGAAGCAGCCCTCTGGGGCTTTGCATTTCCAGGTATCTCAGATGCACTTAAGAGGAATTGTTTAAGAATGTGCTTTTTTGTTCAGTCCCACTCATACCAAGTTTAGTCAGGTTTCTCTCTCCCAAACAGAGCTGGAATCATAGCTCAAAGAGGTTCAATTAGCAATAATACACTGGTGACAGTAAACACTTCCACCTCTGTTATTTCATTTGATCTTTACTCCACCCTGTGAAGTCACATTGTAGAGATAAAGCACCTGAGCTTGCAGGTGGCAGGAGGGAACCATGAGCCCTAGACGCCTATCTCCTGGTTTGGTCTTTCTGTCACTGTCCCATTACCATTTCTAGCTCAAGGGAAGGGGCCAAGAGCCCCAGAAGCCTATCTCCTTATTTGATCCTTCTGCAACTGTCCCATTGCCACTTCAACTCATCTTTGGGAACTGAGTTGCTCTCTGTGGCCAAACACACCTGAGAAAAATGGGTTTCCTTAGCACTTGTGAAACCATCATGAGGATGGGCAAGGTGGGAAGGTAAAAGGACCAAAGCAAAGTGAACTCCTGAAAAAGTTAAAAGTCTCAAGTGTATGAATGAATGCAATTAGAACTGAAACGGTGCTTTGGAGAAATCTTTGAAATTATTGACCAGTGTGAGTTCTAACTGCGATAAAATCCACGGGCATTTGAATATTTAACAATTTAACACAAGTTAACAACATTTTGTTAAACACATCTTAGGATGGAGGGAAGGTGAGAAAGAGGGAAGGGCAGTATCTGGGATCTCTGTGGGTCTTCTTGGCCACAGCCATGGAAAAGGGAGCATTTCCAGCTCCCAGGAGTCCTTGTAGCATGCTGTGCTGTGGGAATGACATGGGCTTCAAGCTAACGACCATGCTGACCATTGGGAATGAGGTGCCTGTCAGCCCCAAGGCCATTCTTCAAACTGTCTCTGTCTTTGTCTTTGGCAGCTTCTTTCTCTTTCTCCTCCTCCTCTTCCTCCTCATCTTCTTCTTCATATTCATCTTCATCATCACTTCTCACATCCTGGATATTCTAGACAAAGGGAAGAATTGGCTGTGAGTGACAGCCTTTCAGGAATAGTCTTGATTGCATATGCAAATGAACAGGCCCAGTTTAGAGGTCTGACTCCCTTTGAGGAAGATCCAATATCCATGCAACCAACGTTCATGGGTCATAAAACAACCCAAATCATGGGTCATAAAACAAACCTTAACAGACTTAAATAATTGATATTATATGAAGTATATTTCCAGACCATAATGAAATTAAAGCTAGATGTCAACACTATTAAAAAAAACACACAGGAAAATCTCATAACATTTGGAAATGAAATTAATAAAAATAAATAATAAATGGGCCAAAGAATGAGCCTTAAATAATATCAGAAAGCATTTTTGAACTAAATGAAAATTAAAATTCAAACAATTTGTCAAGTGTGGCTAAAATAGTGCTCGAAAGCAAAATTTGTAGCATTAATTGTTTATATTGGCAAAGAAGAAATGTCTCAAACAATTTGAGCTTAAACTTTAAGAAACGAGAGAGAGCGAGCAAAATAAACTCAAAGTATTCAAAAGGAAAGAAATGATAAAAACAAAAGAAAGAAACTAAATTGAAAATAAGCAAAATAAGGAAAAACAATAAAACCAGAAGCTGGTTCTTTGAAAAGACCAAAGCATTGATAATTAAATAGCAAATCTGAAAAATAAAAAAAAAGGCAAAGAAAAAATTACCAGAGAAAAAGGGGATATGACTACAGGTACTGCAGACTGTAATTATAACAGAAAGCTATCAACATCTCTATGCGTATTCATTCAACAGCTCAGATGAAATGGATCAAAAACTACAAATGATTAAGACCCAAGATGGAACAGATAACCTGAATATTCATAAAAGTATAAAAAATTGAATTTGTAGTAAAAAACTTTCTGGAAAAGAACAGCACCCAGGTAAATGGTTTCATTGGCAAATTCTATGAAACATGTAAAGAAGAAATAACAATAAATTTTTACGTAAATGAGAATTTTAGCTTTATGGTAGTTGTATTATTTAGATTTGTTAATTTATGCTATAATTAAAATGGGATTCCACAATCATAAAAAATTTTTTACAGTATCTTCTAGATAATAGAAAAGGAGGGAGTGTGTCTCAACTGATCCTATAAGGCCATAATTACCCTGACACCAAAATCAGACAATGACAGTTTAAGACAACTACAGACAAATATCAATTCATATAGCAAAAAGTCCTCAACACCAAAATGGGCAATGCATATAATACTTCATGATGAAGTGGGATTTGTCCCAATAACACAAGGCTGGCTCCAAAATGCAGAAATCACCAATCAGTGTAATCCATCATATTAATAATCTAAAGAAGGTATGTTACATTAATTGATGCAAAAAATGATGTGACCAAATTTTACATACATTTGTGATTTTTTAAATAACCTCTTGGTAAAGAAAGAATGGAAAATAACTTCCTCAATTTTATTTAAGGGTAGCTTCAAAAACTTAGAGCCAATATCATGCTTGTGAATTAGTAAGTGCTTTCCCCCTAAGATTAAGAACGACGCAAAAATGTCCATTTTTACCATTCCTATTCAACAGTGTGTTGGAAGTTTTTGTCATGATAAGAAAATTCATACAGTTTGGAAAGAAAGAAAGAAGTATGTTTATTTGCAGGTATAATCATTATCTGCTGTGATCAATGCGGCCAAACTAGCAGGTTCTGGTGAGGGGCCATGGGATATTGGAAGAAATAAAGAGTCACACACGCAGATCTTGAAGATAAAGCTGGGGTAGGGTGGAGCACTGCTCTCTGATGGAGAAGAGGTCTGAAGAATTACACCAGCAATCTTTATTAAAGATTATGTCTCATTAATCAGATTAAAGACTATGTAAGCATTATTCTTTGTATTCATGAAAGTTACAGAATTAGCAACAGTATGCAGTTATTTCCTCAGTTACATTCTACAGTTGCAATGTGCAATGTCTGGAGCATTGTGCAGCTCTCAAGAAAGTCCATTGTTTAAAGTTTCTAATTTGCTGGCAGATTCAGGAGCAGCAGAACTGGTGAAACATTGTAGCTATCTTAGAAAGGAAGTGTGTGCCTGAGAATAAGGTCAAAGCTGATAAGATTCTCTCAACAGAGTCTCCCCATGGAGAGCACTGCCATAGCAACTGAGCATCCTACAGTTTGCATAGAAACTTTACCAGTCACCAAGCGTGCCACAGCCATGAAGTCATCAGGGACCCCAATCTCAGACACTGGTCTCCCAATCACTGTCACCGCTCTCCACAATTATCTATCTAGAAAATCCTAAGAAATCTACCATAAAATTAGTGAGTTTAGCAAATTTGTAGAATAAAGATCAACACACAGAATCACACATATACACACACACACATACACACACACCACAACCTTTATTACTAAACACTAATATGGTAGGCTAAAAAAATGTCCTCAAAGACTGAATCACTAGAACCTGTGAATATTATCTGATTTGGCAAAGGTTTTGGAGATGTGACAATTATCCTGGATTATCCAGGTGAGCCCCAAATGCCATCGAAAAGATCTTTATAAAATATAGACAGAGGGAATTCCATACATAGAGGAGAGGCAATGTAAAGATAGAGGAAGAGACTGGAATAATGTCATTATAAACCAAAGAAGGTCAGAAAGCCCCAGAAGCTACACAAGGAAAACAGCAGTTTTATACTAGACTGAAGTGAGCACAGCCCTGACAACACCTTGATTCCAGTGCAAGACTGATTATGGATGTCCCACTCCAGAACTCTAAGAGGACACATTCCTGCTGTTGCAAGCACCAGGTCTCTAGTAATTTGTCACAATGGCCATAAATATAATACAATTAGCATGTCCAAATAAAAATTGACATTTAAAAATTCATAACATTTACAATAGTTTCAAAAATGAAATATACATACACCTAACATAGCATGTATATGGTCTGAATGTAACATCTACAAAACTCTGATGAAAGAAATCAAAGATCTAAATGATTGTATAAACACATATTCATAGATTGAAAGGCATAATAGCAAAATTACTGATTATTCTCAAATTGATCTATAGGTTCCACAAATTACCAATAAAAGTCCCAGCAGGATTTCTTTTACATACAAACTAGCTAATGCTATAATTAATATGGAGATACCAAGAAAAAAAAACCTAAAATAGCTAAAGCAATTCTGAAAAGGTGGAATAAAATGGGAGGAGTTATACTATCCAATTTTAAGACATACTATAGTTAACAGTAATCAAGACAGGATAGTATTAACAATGGTATAAACACATAGATCAGTAGAGTGAACCGAATATAGACTCTGGAAATAGATGCACACAGATACAGCTGACTTGACAAAGGTTCAAAGCAATTCAATGGAGAAAGAAAGTCTTCCCAACATAACATTTACAATAGTTTCAAAAAATGAAATAGATATACACCTATTTCATCAATTATTGGAACAATTGGACAACTACAGACAAAAAAGTAAACTTTGATCTAAATGGCATACCTTGTAGAGAAGTAAGCTCAAAATAGACCATAGATCTAAATATAGAATGTAAAACTATCAAACTTTTAGAACACTCAACTTTGGGTTGAGCAATGAGTTCTTAGACATGGCACAAAAGTATAATCCATAAAATAAAAAATTGATAAACTGGATTTCATTAAAAACTTTTGCTCTATCCAGAGAAGGAAAAGATAAGCTACAAATTGGGGAAAAATATTTGTGAATCACATGTCCAACTTGCATGTGCAATAAAGAACTCTCCAAGTTTAACAATAAGAAAACAATATCTTTTTTAATGAGCAAAGGGCATAAAGATAGGTACTTCATAAAACAGAATGCAGGATGACAAGTAAGCATATGAAAAAATGTTCAACCTAATCAGCTATTAAGAAAACACAAATTAAAACCATGATGAGTACAAGCCCATTAGAATAGCTAAAATTAAAAATACTGACAATACCAAGGGCTATCAAGGATGCAGAACAACTAGAACTCTCATGTCTTGCTGGAGGAAATTAAAAATGGTGCACATTCCCTAGAGAACAGTTTGGCAGTGACTCATAAAAGTCAACAAATGTTTACTGTAGTACACATACTTAGGTGTAGATGTTAGCAGACCTACACCTGAGTATATACCCTGGAGAAATAAATATTCATATAAACCAAACATTTATAACAGTTCTATTCATAATTGCAAAAAATGGAAGCAACTCAAATGTCCTTTAAATGGATAAACCATGGTATATCCATATAATGAAACAGTACTTAACCATAAAGAGGAACAAACTATTGACACATAAAAAGTTGAATGGATCTCAAAAGTATAAGTAAAAAAAAAAAATTAGTCTCCAAAAGTTACCTACTATATGACATACTAACATCATTTACATGACATTTTTGAGAAGATAAAACTATAGGGATGGAAAATAGATAATCAGCAGTGAGGAATCAAGTTATAAGAAAGAGTTATTTTGAATGATGGAACTGTTCTATATCCTGAAAATGGCAATGGTTACACAAATATATACATATGTTAAAAATCACAGAATAAAATATATTTTTACTGTTGATACTTTTTAAAACAACACTTTAAAAGATTTCTTTTAAAATCGCAAACACAGCCAGGCGTGGTGGCACATGCCTGTAATCCTAGTGGCTCTGGAGGCTGAGCCTGGAGGATCTCAAGTTCAAAGCCAGCCTCAGCAAAAGTGAGGTGCTAAACAACTCAGTGAGACCCTGCCTTTAAATAAAATAAAAAATAGGTCTAGGGATGTGGCTCAGTGGTTGAGTGCCCCTGAGTTCAATCCCTGGTACCAAAAAAAAAAAAAAAAAAAAAAAAAAAGAAAAGAAAAAAACACACAATGGTTTCCCCAATAACCATTTGCTAAGTAAGGCATTACTTGGATAGGCATTTTTGCTGTCAGGTATTTTTATTAACGGTAATTATGATGTTTTCTTTATGCAGGGGTTCATTAACTACAGTTTTTAATT